TTGGAGCGGAGGCCCTCCAATCAAGGGTACAGAACCCTGCGTCCACGGAGGTGAGTGGTAATGAGCTGCGCTTTGTATGTGGGGGAAGCTAGGCTGATTAAAATTACACTGCTGTGTCTGACCAGGCCCTAAACATAGTTATTTAGTTCAAAAATAAGTGCAGCATTGGCCTAGTTTTCTCAACTGCATAATTTAAAGATATGGTGGTTCAAATAGTTACCTTAAATGAACACTGACTTTTATTACAGTTCAATGAAAGTCGTTTTGATTTGTATACGTTTCTTTGAACAAGGGATCGGTATCGAGAACCGGTACTAAGTCAATACCGGTACCTGATTGGACGGTATCGGTATACCGTTAAACCGCTGGACAAACGGTGCTGCTATAGGTATATGTGTTACGTCTACTTCCTTAGTTTAACGTTAAACCATTCTGGTTGGTTGGGAACCCTCATCCCGTGTGATGTATCCGGTTTGAGACCCCTCTGATTGGCCACTGTAAATGCCACTCGTCATCTCTCTCAACAGCGCTCTTATTATTGTTGTGAGACTCCCGCAGGCATGGCGGGCTGAGCGAAGCGATCGAAGGACTGGGTGCACTTTAAAAAATGTAGTGGCGATAGTGCAAGGTGCAATCTATGTACTCAATTAGTTGCTTGTAAAGGGGGTAACACAAGCAACTTAATGAAGCATTTGCAAACGAGAAACTCATTGAATCTAAAATGGTGGAGCGTATTTGACAGCATAAACAATGTGGCTTCTAGCGATACTGCTAGTGCGAATAATAGTGCTAGCTGGCTTCAGCCACGCCGTGTGTAAATGTGACCTGAGCAGGCAGGTTAGCTGCTGCGCGCGGGTAATATGTTTTATTTACCTGAGTGAAGTCTTGCAGGCACATCGCCTTGTCTTTTTTTTGTTTATTAACACTGACGGTGTATTAATGTGTGAGCTCCGACCTACACCTATAATAATTTGGCCTTTCATTGAATGCTTTAAACCAGTTAAACTTACAGATGTCATTGTGAATTGGAAAAATGCATTTAAATGTTATTAAAGGTCAACGTTTCAATGTATGGTTCAGCAATTGTTGGTCGTTTACTAGGAATTGACATATTTTAAGCTCAAACACTTTGTTCTATGTTTAAACCTTCAGACACATTTTGCCGTGTTTCAGTTCAGCACATCATTTATTTTGTGATGATTTAAAAGTACAATCCAGAATAATATACTCGCCTTTATCTTTTTTTGCCATCTTAGCCTTTTTACCAATTTCTTCATATCACAGTTTTGCATGATGTCACTGTAGGACAATGTTTTAAGGATCTCTTGTCGAGCTAGGTTGTCAGTTTGAAATGTCTGGATGAAGATGTAACTGATTTACAAATGTTAAAAAATGCCTCTTTTCATCCTCTGTCTGAGGGAAAACCCCAAAAAGCATTGATAGGGTGAGCCAGGCCTCTTTAAGTTATTTTATTTATTTTTGTCTGCTTCTGAGAAGCAAATGTATTAATACAGTTATGTATAATTTATACAGTTATTTCAGCAAGAAAATTACAATAAAATGACTGTTTTAATCTTCTCATCTTGTATTCCATGTCTATAATTTGAGCACCAACTTATGAAAAGTATCGATAAGAGTGTCGAAAAATACAGATACCGATAAGCAGTACCGGGTATCGGTATCGAAAAAACCTAACGATACCCATCCTACTTTGAACTAAAGCCTTTATATAGTAAACACATATTCTGTCTGGTAAAATAAAATCCTGGTACCATTACCACAATATATTCTAATGCTGACACATATTTTAAATGGCCAATTTAGGAGAAATCTGTTAAAAAATACATGCTGTGTGTCAGTCCTAATTAAATAAGCCATTGATAATTATTAAGAGTATTTCATGTAGCAGGTTACCATTAAAAGCAGGCTACCCAATCTGTGAACACACTTAAGAGTTTAAATGAAGATCAAAACATTCCTAAAAGTGGCCACTGGTGCCAATATGTAAATGGACAGAGCTTATTCAATAAAGCTATTAGTGTTAAGTAAGACTTCAAATGAGTCATGAGCAATCATGTCCAAAGCTAACCACAATGCAATCCAGAGGGTACTGGATTTCTAGAGAAAATGTATTAAGAAGATAAGAAAGAAACAAGGTAAGGATCATCATCCACAGGCGGCTGCTGGTTCCGTTTGCATTCTGACATAAGATATTGGCAGTTAAATAAAGACTGTAGTACATGGCTGTGCTTTGAGAATTGTAGTTTTTCCTGATTTTGATATATATATATATAATATAGTATATATATAAGGGTGCTCAAATAGCTTCCACATTTTTTTCAGGACAACAATCTAGCTTCAGTGATGCCTGAGTGCATTTTTTTATTTAGTCCAAAAAAATACGTATGCAGAGACAGCATTGAGTTTATAAAAGAAAGAAAAACCCTGGCCCTGTTACCGATTTATGAAAGCACATAGAATGCAACAGAGGATTTCACACATTCCTGAAATGAACACCATGAAGAAATACCAGGACGAATAAAGGTAACATCTCTTGAAAATCAGGCTTCCTGTGCAAAGGGTATAGTGATATCTGCTGATGAATGGACCAGTGATGAGTCATGTACAAGTTGAATATGTGTTGAAACTATTCTTGATGAGATAAAACCCTAATGCCCAGCCTTATGAAGGCAATGCTAAAGGAAGCTTAAAACTACAGAACTTACAGTATCTGGGTTTGTTTCTAAAGAATTGT